GCTTCGGCTGAGGCTGCGTTTGGTAGGAGGGTTCTCCAACATGCCCTGTGAGGTGCGGAAGTTGTCACACCCACTCTGGGGAGTACTGCTCTTTTATGTCCCAGGAAGTGATGGATTAAAGGACCGCCCCACTCCCAGGATCTCCGGAGAATGGAAGATATTGTTCACTTACCGTGAAGCTTCCTTCTCGGTGGTCTGGGAGTGGGGCAGTCCTGCCCGCCCTGTTTGGAGGGAACGGCTTCCGCTTCTCATTGGGGATGTGTGGTCTGTTAAGTGTTGGAGTTGAGTGGTATATCTGAGGAGGGGGATGTACGGTGTCTCTGTTGATCTCAGTTATTCTAAAAATCTGTATTGCTTCTGTGTTGTATTCTGTTGCAAATAAAGTTGAAGGTTAATGATTTTGGCCTCGGTGCACTTGTTCCCATATGGGAGGAAAGTGGGTTGTGGGTTGTTTGTTCAGTTGGTTGCAGATGATGGGAAGTCAAGCGGCTTGGTAATGAACTGGGAAACCAGAGGACAGGCCCCTCCCCTCCAGGATCAAGTTTGGCCTGCCCTGCAAGTGGAGAGGAGGAGCCAAGTCCCAGGAAGTGATGGATTAAAGGACCGTCCCACTCCCGGACCTCCGAGAAGGAAGCTTCACAGTAAGTGAACAAAATCTTCCATTTCCCAGGCATGTTAGGCCCCCAACCTTCTTCCTGCTGCCTCGAGACCTTGCTCGACAGTCCATATTGTTTGTTAGTCTCAGTGGACAATTCTAATCCATTTCCCTGTAGAAAAGTAACAGCTACCCCTTCATCTCTTTGAGATGAGCCATCCCAAACCAGAGACTTTTCTTCTGCTGTTGGCTTTCTCCCAATATTCAATTTAAAATCTGCTCCTAGTCTAAAAAGGAGTTTAGATCTATAGTTAAAAAGAATCTTAATCCTGAGTGTAAATGTGTCTAGTCAAGCTACTGATTGTAATGAAGGAATTGCAAATTCTTGGTGAATAGCTATACTGGATACACACTTCGGTAATCAGGTTGTTTTTCTCAGGAATTTTAATAAGAAGGAATCAGTAGTCTCAGATATTACCTTCTATCCACATTCTGGCACCATAAAGTATCATTTGATTAATTTTATCGCCAAAAGTCCTTATAGCTGCTGGGTAATACTTCCCTCCTTCTGTGTGGGGAAAAAACACACATGTCAAGGCATTTAAATATGGTGTTATCTTATAAGAGATAGATTAGAACTGATTTTTTCAAGATAGGACTTGGGAGAATATAACTTACTGACAGCCAGTTTGGTGTAGTTGTTAGGATCACGGACTTTAATCTGGGAGAACCAGGTTTAATTCCCCATTCCTCCACATGCAGCTGCTGGTGTGACCTTGGGTCAGTTACAAGTTCTCTCAGAACTGTTCTCTCACGAGCACTTCTCAGGAGAGCTCTCTGAGCCCCACCTGAGACTCCTTCGGGTAGTGAAGGGCAGGGTATAAATTCAATCTCCTCTTCTTCTTCCAGTCCCCTCACTGTTTCTCTGCAACTATGATTTGTCCCATTTAGCAAGTAGGCAGAATGGAGCAAGCACCTGAATACCAGGAAGGCACTTGTTTGAATACTGCTCTTTCCTCACACTGTTGCTCTACAGATTCTGTAAAATCAGAGGTTTATTTTTTCCCCATTGCTTTCATGTGGTCTTCTGGTAAACTGCCACGGGAGGCTATCATGTCTCTCTTCAGAAAGGATCTGGGAAAAAGGGATGGTTGTTGCAAGAGTTGCTGAAGGCTAAAGTTTAGTTACAGTTTTGAGGGTAGGGGCTAGGTAATTGTGGCTATGGCACAGATACGGCACAATGCATTGAAATTGCAGGAAGGAGAGGTGGGGTTCCAAAGGCTACACTGAGGCATTAAGGCTTGAGGACGGTAAGTATCCTCTTGAGAATTTTTGACACGGGAAAATTAAAAGGCTACGTCCATGCATGGCTGCCTGGGTACAGGGTTCAGCAACCTTTAGAAAGTGTAGGGGTGTCAAACATAAGGCCGGGGGGGGGCACAATCAGCCTGTTCAGAGCTCTGATCTGGCCCCTGAGCAAGTGGTGTGAGAGAGGGCTGCTGGGGAGGGGAGTGAGCGGAGTCACTCTGTGGCTTCAGCACTGTGGAACAACCTCGTCTGCAACACCCCTTGACTTCACTGGCAAGTTGAAAACAACCACAGCTGCATTCATGCTGGCTTAGGGTTCCAAGGCAAGGTTGCACACCTCTCCGCTTGCCCTGCAGCTCAGGGAATGCTGTCCTGGATAGCCACAGGATGGATGAAGCATGTGACTTGGTGGCCTGGTCTCCCTCCCCCACCTTGTGGGGGGGGCTGCCAGTGATATCTGGTTATACTGGTGGCCGGGTGGTCTGGGGCCTCTGCCACGTGCACAGCCTTGTGCGAGCAGTGCCTGCTCCCCCATCAGATGATCCAGCAGCCTTCAGCCTGGGGTGGCTGCTGCTGCATGGGGGTGGTGCAGCTTGCCAACAATCTCTGGCTTGAACCCCGAACATTGCCCCACCGTGGATTGCCTGGTGGCTTTGGCTGGAGGTGGCCACTGCCGCACAGGCATCTCTGGCTTATTGGGCTTTATTTGGTCTGGGTCCTGTGTGTCTGTGGGGGGTGGTATTTCAACTTGTCTTCCCAGTCCCCTTCCATGGTGGCTCAGGGCCAGCAAGGAGCTCGCAACATCCAGCTGCTTCATGTTTTTACCCTGGAGCCCGGGCTCACAACATTGGGAGTGGGCTGGGGAACTGGTTTGCCCCCCACTCCAGGCAGTGCAGGAGTGTCTGCCCAGCACTGCACTGTTGGCTCTCCAGTCCGCCCATGGGGGGTTTCCTCTTCCTCTTCACCTTCATCAGCCCATGGGGCCTTGCAGTGAGAGCACACCAACTCAGAGATTACCAGTTGCTGTCCTTTATAAAGATAGTATCTCTTGTACCTGGCATTACGTTTTATGGCACACATGGCCTGGCCTGACATTTATGTCAAATCCAGCCCTTGTAGCAAATGAGTTTGATTCTCATACTATCATTTACAGTTTATGGGACAACTTGATACTTGCTTGTCCATGCTAGATTAGGTGAAATAAATTCAGTTAAGTCTTCAGTTGCCCCAGCTGCTGTATTTGTCAATAGAATCTGTGCAGGACCAGTCTATTTTATGTACAAAGTGTGTGTAAGCATGCAGGAGACTTAAGTGTGGTAGTTCGGAGGTTTATAAAGCAAGGAAGTATCTAGGAGTGTTCTCAGATTGTGAATGGTCCAGCCCATTGTTGATTTGGTGCCAAGGGAACCTTTGCCATTCCAGTGCACTTGCTGCTGTGGCTGATGCCAACATTCAGTCCTTGCATTTCCCTATAATACTAACATGGATATGGCCAGAGCTGAGGTGCAGCAACTACTGTGTGCAGCTAAAAGTCATAAAGATGAAAGAAATGGAGAAGCAGCAGAAGCTTGCAAAGTGGTACGTTACTTACAGGATACATTGTGAGGATCATGAATTCATAACCATGTGTGACAAATTCCAGTTCTATACATCTCTGCACTCAATATAGTTGTATCATAATAACCATACACGAGTGGGTGCAAGGCTCACGTATAATATACATATTCCAGAAGAAAAAACTGGTTGGAAATATAGGAGAAACAAATGGAAGAAGCAAAGCAAGTGGCGATGCATGAGTTTAAAAAAGGGATGCCCAGTTGGTGCCTTGCATCCTAGCAGCAGGTTGTTCCAAGGATCACAACAGTTTCTACAGTTAACATATGCAAGCAACGCAATTTAATATTTGTAGTGGGAGGTGACTCCAGCCTCAAGCAGGTGTCTGGAAAGGGAACATGTAAGTTTTCTAAATAAATTCTATCTAGATGGGGTTTTTCAGATGTCTGTTCTCTAGGCAGCCGTGGTATCTAACCTGTAACATACAGCTCCCAGTTACTACCATCCTATTATTTTCCAGTGCAGTCATGAAACAAACCACAATAGGACTGAGTTGATGAAGGACTAGATTTTGTGTTAAGTACTGAAACTAGCAATTTTGGAAGAAATGAAAAATTATTCTGGAAGCTTCCAGAATAAAAGGTTATTATAACTAAGGTTATTATTATAACTAAGCAGTTATACCAAGCCAGACCCCTGGTCCATCTATCTGAGTGGCTGCAGTTCTCAGACAATGCTTGCCCTGCTACTTGTGATTCCCTTCAGATGGAAATTCTGGAGATTTAATTTGAGACCTACATGCAAACTATAATCTCTACCGGTAACCTGTGGGCTTCTCCTGTAGACCAGTGTGGCTGAGAACATCACAACGTTATCAAGTGCACTCTGAAGCCAGTATTATCCCATGGGGGGGGGGAATCTTACAATACTTTTGAAATAGTACGAAAATATATTTCTTACATTTGTTGGCTAAACAGTCATTTCCCATATCTAAAATACAAAAGTGGTCTCATAATGCTATATCATCAAAATGTACAAGCATAGGCTCGTGTCCTGTAGACTTAAGAAATTTTAGGAAGTCATCTGGATGTATCCCCACGGTTGCTGCATTTGTCATTGGATGAAAATGCAACCTCTCATAACCTCCCTCCAGAAAGGCAGCATCCAACACAAACTTTACATCTCCTTGGTCGCAGAAGAGAGCTAAAGGCGTTACGCAACCCTGGCCAACTTTCAGTTTATCCAACAGGGTTGCTTCATCAGCAAAGCGCAGGTTTCCACTGCCAGCACCCAGTTTCTTCGCCAAGTCATTTAAATTGATTTGCCTGTCATGCAGAACCGTTACCAGCCATAGTCTTTTTTTCTTCTTGTCTTTAAGGAAAAGGTTTTTGCTGAGTGCTCCTTTTAAATGTTGCACGTGAGGCATCATCTCTTCAACTGTGAATACCTAGAAAACAATTAGAACAATATGACTGTCCCTCACGTACTTCTCCAGCTGCAGCTTTAAAAACAGAGCAGTTCCATATAGCAGCACTTTCCTTCAGAAGCCCCATTTTTGCTGCAGCTGTCCACGCAGTGTACCAGCAACAGGACTTCCAGAAAGTGAGTTTCCCAACATTTTCCCAACTCCGGTGACGGTAATTCCTCCTGAGCCACCAGGAAGTCTTTTGATCCTTATTGTCTCTGGTAATGGACATAGTAATATAACAACAGAAAGGCATACATCAGAAAATAAATCCTTAATCCCCTGTGGTGGAAAGGGTAGGAATGGCCAGTATGAGAGCAAGGAAAATGGGTGCCATGCAGGCAAGACTGGAAAAATTCTAACTTTTGTGCCTATATAGCAGCTATCCAGGCTTTGCTGTGATTTTTCTAACACTTTGCAGCAAAACAGGTTTGGGAAAGATCAGACAAAAGCTGACAAAAACCTAGGAGGTGCACAGATGCGCCATGATGCTATGGGGAAATGGGGGAAACCCCACTTCCCAATAGCTTCCAATCCAAGGAAAAGGTCTTAGTCATAAACTACAATATAAAGAATTTTTCTAGCACAAGTGCTAATCAGATTAATGGGAACTGAGCAATATCTTGTTCTAGTGAAGTATGGGCTGGAGACATCACTAGTAGCTTTGTATACACTCCTGGGTGTTAACTGAGTTGGCTGGTGTATAATGCAGAACTAAGCACAGGGATACTACATTGCAGCCCTCCATAGCCACCACATTGTAGTTCCCCACAGTCAGGTTGGGTTCTTTCAGGAAGGGCAAATGGGCTTTACTGCAAGATACATTTCGGTGACTACCTAGTATTTTATTTATTTAGACTTTTTAGGCCACCCTTCTCTGCAAGCAGGGCTCAGAACAGCTTACAACAGAATAAAAACACAATCCAAGTTAGATTAACCCAACTTTGAGCCTGCTTTGGCGGGGAGGGTGGGATACAAATTGAAATAAATAAACAAACTTTAACAGTACAGAACCAGTCATGGTTCACCAGTCACTTCCAGATATATTAAGGGTGGGGGGAGAGGACTTCAGGTCAATAAACCAATTGCTCCTTGATGGAACATTTATTTTTGAACTAGCTATGAGGCCATGATGGCAGTGTGATTTATATTCTCTGTTCGCACATGAACCACCTGATAGATTTCCTGGGGCCAGATTTGGGCCAGTGGTTGATGGCTGTTAAACCAATAATATATACCACCCCTAAAATCACTACTGGGTGTATGAGTATTGCATTAGTGAGGTTATACAAATGAAGGAGAATGGAATTGTGTTAGTTAAGGGCTGTCTCTTATCAGACCAGCCAGCTTAACACTGTTAAACTCAGGTATGGTATGAAATGTCCAAAGAACAGAACATTTACTGCAACATCCATGAGTCAGTATAAATGATTCTGCATACTTGAATAAACAGTAAACCATGTGTAACGTCAGTAGAAATAAAGTGTGCTGATAAGTTCTGCAAGACCCTAACATCTGTTTGTCCATATATGCTCATGCTTTTATCTGTAAAGCTGTCAGCATCTTGAACTTTGTTAGGAATAGATGCTTTCCTCAGTCATAATCAATAAAGAAAAGAGTTTCTTGCTAAACATTAAGACCCCTACTTAGAACCCAGCTGAAAATTGTAATTTCTCCATCACATATAATTGTTTTATTTTCCATACTGTTATCTGTCGTGACTCCTATGATAAGTTTGCAGTTCAGTTCATGTGTGACAATTCCTTCTATCATATTCTGGAGCATTCTTTATTTACAGGGCAATCACATGCAGATAACATGTTCTGGCTTCCCTCCATGATTTCTTGTTCAGTTAAAATATGTTTGATTTCTTTTGGCGATACATGGATGGTTTCTCCCTACCATAGAGAATGATGTAAAGACAGGCAGCCTACTGCTGTAGGAGATGATAGCACTGAAGAGTCACATAATGACAGCTTACAAGCATTGCAAGCATTACATCCTACTTAATACCTAGTTGTCTGGAACAGTACATGATGGGATGCCAAACAGCAACTAGAGAGTAGGGTAAGTAACATGCATGGAAGAGAAGGCATGTTGATGTAAGACTGTACTCCAACAGCCACATACAAACTCTAAACTCAAGATCATATAATCATGAACTGAGAACCAAAGTTACAAGTATCATGAAATCAGAAAGAAAATGGAACAAATTAACGAAGGTGAACTGTTCATGCCCTCTTGCGTTAAGTGGGCAAAGTAGGTTTAAAGGGACTATCAACACATACAGGCTACAGTTAACGGGAAACCCTCTACTGCTGGCAATAAAACTAAAGTAGGAAAATTCTTAGGAAACAATATCAAGACATGTCAGTAGCATATTAAGAGCATCCATCTTAATACTTAAGATGTTGTAATTTTTAAAATATTTCCATTCTAGTATCTTGGTACCATTTCCTGCACTGCCTGGCCACAAAGGCAAATAAACAGCTCACATGGGCACTGGAAATACCTAATTATTTTTAACTGTATACGATGGAAGGCCAAATTCTTCAAGTCTTCTGTGCATTCTTCCAGAATTACTTCTCCCCACTGAAATAGTAATTAAGGTGCTGTGATAGAATCAGAGGTTTGAGATACAGCTAAAGATCATCCAGTGTGACCTCTGCAAAGGAAGGAGCCCAATAAAGTGTGACAATTTTCATAGGTGTGCAGAAGGTTCCAGGTTCAAACCCAGTCCCAGGTAAGCTGGGAACGGGCCCTGCCTGAGACCCAAGAGAGTAAATGCCAGTAAGAGCAATCAATAGGCTAGAATGGACCAATGAGACAAAATAATTCCTTGTTTACAGAGCACTTTCAAAGACTTTGTTGCATGGGACCTATGACGATTCTATATACCTACAAGCCAAACAATCTAGTCCCTCCCTGACTTAGCCCTGGAACATGCTTGGCATTTTAGGGTTCAGTCTCCAGCCTGGCTTCTATGGCCAGTTGATTTCCAGTTACTGTGTAGACATCTCCATGATAACCAGTAATCAACCAAAGCTATCTAGTGGGCTACATTGCAACAAAAAAACCAACAATGCTTTTCTTCTTAGGGTGGGGAGTTTGCCTACTGAGTTCCTGTACTGCACCTGTTAAAAGACCCAGCAAGAGTTGGGAGGGGAGGTAAGTTGCTACAAGAAAGCCATGAAAAAGCGTTCCAAAAGTCGCTCCTGCTGGTTGCTGAGCAATCAAAGCCAGTCTACACAACTGGGGAGAAAAGAGCAGGGCTTTCCATGAGAAGGCAGCTTTTTACCACCACAGCTTCCACTCAGAAAACTGACCACTGTTTCTGGCAACATGAAATGCCTGCGGTGCAGAATGAGCAATCTGAGTTTTCTGGGGTTCCCTTCACTTTTTTGCTGTAGTACCAGTGCCACACTCCACTAACTCACTTCAGGGTGCTCCACGCAGAACGTTTCGATGCCCAAGCCACGCAGGTGCTGATCTAGCACCTCTCGAAGCACCGGCTGTTGCTGCTCAGTCATGGTTGGCAACGATGTTCTTCTCTACTTGGCACAGGCCTTCCAAGTCACAGGGTTTTTTATTGGTCCGGTGAAGGTATAGGAGGAATGAGGGACAGCTCTTGGCCCTGCAGGGGCGGGTCCTGCTGGCGGAGTGACCAAACTGCCAAGAAAAAGGAGACTGGGGTTGATTCTATCACTGTCAAGGAAAGTCACGTCTGTACAGGCCTGTAGACAGAAAATGGGGGGGGGATGAGTACAGTGTTAGTAAACTAATATTTATTTACATTATTATTTATTTATAATGTTATGTATTTATGTATATTTACCAATTTTGTACTTGACACTCAAGTTGGATTACATGGTATAGAACAATAATCCAATAGCATGAGAGATCTAATAAACTATGCAACAGGACTAGATAACAAAAATTAGAAAAGTGCAAAAAAGTATCAGACATGCTGTGTCAAGCAATGCAGAAAATAGAATTACAAAAAAATGAAAATGCTATGAGAGTATGAGAGAACATACAACAAATTGCTAGCATAGAGTACAGTTCTGTTCTGTATTAGCTTTATAAAAATGCCCTCCCAAACAACAAATGAACATCGTTTGCAGAATTAAAGAAGTGTGGGAGCCTTTCTTCCAGTTACTGAAACCTGAAACTGTAATTACACACTTCTTTTCTCTGTGAATCACTAACTCAAGGCATCTACTGGTGCCATCCAACAAATGGGTAAGATCAAGAACTGCCCATACACATGCATTTTGTGGAATGGCCTTTCTGAGGATGTCCGGAAGCTCCCACACTTTTGTCATTCTGCAAACTATGTAAAACAGAAAGATTCAAGAGACCATTTTTATAAAGATAATAGAGCTATATGATAATGGAATGGTTCAGGAAGGAGCTTTTATAAAAGAAACAGGACTGTGGACTGAATCATAGTATGTTCCGTATTATCTGTTTGCTGTATGTATTATCCTGTGCTTACTGCATTGTTTTTACCTTTGTAATATAGTTTTCTACATTGTTTGACATATCATATGTAATTATTTTTCTCTTGTTTAAAATTGCTGTAATCCTAATCTTATTGCATTGTTTATTAGATGTCTCATCTGATGGCATTGATTTATACTGTGTAATTCTTTCTGAGTATCAGTGAGAAAGGTGGACTATAAATAAATAAAATGCACAGGATTAGGCTCTGAGTAGGATTCTTTTCTAAGTGAACACACATTGGGTCAAGCAAAAGCGGTCCACGGGTAAGGGATCCTTTCCCAACAACTTTCCATCTTCAGAGCAAACAACACAGCCCTCCCCTGTAGATAAGATTCCTGTGGAGTAGCATATATTAGCAAAAGAAGACTTGTGCTCACTTACTGCTGGGCCTAAATCCCTTATTATTTGTCTCATGTCAAAAATAATTTCTCCAACAACAAGTTCTGCAGGACTTTTGTGAAACACTGTCCTGTTCTCTGTTTTTTCCTTTGCTTTGTTCTGAGTCTGCTACAACACCATTTTACCTTGTCATTCCTTAATCTCTCTTTCTCTGCTTTACAGCTTTTTAACCTCCCTTTTTAAATTAGGACTCTTCAGCCCTGCTAACTTCTAATTCTGTTCTAGCCAATTGCATAGAAAATTCACCCTTGTAAGATTTATGACAGGATTCACAACTTTTTACCTCAGGTTCTTCCTTTTTTACATAGAGAATTTACACTTGGAAGACTTGTTTCAGAGGGTAGCCATGTTGGTCTGCAGTAAAACAGCCAGATTCAAGTCCAGTAGTACCTCACAGACTAACAGCAGGTTCAGGTATAAGCTTTCAAGAGTCAAAGCTCCCTCCTGACGTGTCCGATGAGGGAGCTATGAAGGGAGCTTTGACTCTGGAAAGCCTATGAGCTTTCAAGAGTCAAAGCTCCCTCCTGACATGTCCGATGGAACTCTTGTTGGTCTCTGAGGTGCTACTGGGCTCAAATCTACTTGAAAGACTTGTGACAGATTTCACACCAACCCCTAGTGCTGACTGGAGGGACATAACAAATGTTTGATGGGGCTCACCCCTTCTGCACCACCAGGGCTATTGGTCTGATGGTACAATTATTCTTACAGGCCAAGCATAACTGTTCAGAAGTAAATCCAATTAATTTCAGTAGGACTTACTCTCCTGTAAGCACACAGAGGATGGTGATCTGCATTGTTTTATTTAAATAAGTGGGAACAGGCAGGACAGAGAATCACAGGCCGATTAAGACATGCTGAGGCCTAAACAGTGTCAAGTTTAAGAGGCCTGTAGTACAACCCCCCCCCCATAATTTAGTAATTGGGAGTATATTTAGAGGTTCCCCATAATATGAGGCCTAAACTTTAGTTTACTTATGTTACATTACATTGTTCATTAATTCAGCTCTAGAGAGAATATGTTATACTAAATCACATTAACCTAGCTGTCCAGGATTTCCACACACCCCACCCCCCAGCCTGCTAACCAGAGATCTCACTGAAGATACCAAGGGACTGAATTTGGGACCTGCTTTCAAAGCTTGTGCTAAATCACTAAGCCTTTCCCTATACTTAGAATGTATATAGTACTGTAAAGGACTTTGCATACATTATCTCAATAATCCTTACAAAAGGCTTGTAAACTAGGGCAGTATACTTCAGTCACATTTATATATCACCTTCCTCCCAGGAGCTCTGGAAAGTATATGTGGTCTGCCTATTCTTAACCTCAAAACAACCCTATGGAAGCAAGACAGGCTATGAATGACTGGGCCAAGGTCACCCAGCAAACTTCAAGGCAGAGTGGGAATTTTTAAGTGCTGGTTGCCATGATCCTAGCCTGCCACTGTAACCACAACATCACAGTTCTATAATGCAGATGAGTGCTTGAAACAAGGGGGGGAAGAGTCAAACAAAGGACTTCTATACTCAATCTTTGCACCTGCAATATGCCAGCTTTCTTAATTCAGAAACAATGCTTTTATTTATTATATGCACAGGTGTGCATTCAGCCGGAGCTATGCCAATTGCACTGGCTACCAATTAAGTACCAGATCCGTTTCAAGGTGTTGGTGCTGACCTTCAAAGCCCTATGCAGCCAGTTCTGGTTTTTGGCAACCCGAATGGCAGACGCGTCCCTTTGGAGCTCCAGGGGACGCGATCCGTGACCCAGCGGATGGGAGGGGGTGTGATTGTCCGCACCACCCCCCGGGGTCCCTGCAGGGAGCCCCCAGCCATGGATTATGAGAGGTGCCACTCCCAAGGCATGCTGCCGAGGGACTGAGACACCTCTGAGCTCCGACAGTCCCGCTGCCGTGGATCCAGCAATAGCAATAGGGGCGCACACCGGGACAAGTGAACGGTGATCAAGCGAAACCCTTACCTCAGCATGATCTACGATGAAGTGTGAGTCTTTCTTGTTAAACCAAAACATCCGGATAGTCATCCAAGCGAAAATATCCCCCCCCCCCAAGATAAGCGGTGTGGAGGATTCACTCCGTGGTTAAACAAAAGCCAATTCCAGAGCATTTTAAGGGGGGGTTAGGACTATAAGCAAATAAAAACTAATGTAAAGAACATTTGAGAGAAAACGGCATAAACTTTCAAGCGATATCGACTTATGAAACTTTTCTGAAAAGTAAACAACTAAAAGATAGCGGGGAGGAGAGTTGTGCCGAAAACAAAACCTTCAGAAAACGGCAGCCCAGCCACCTCAGTCCCGAGACCGGAAGTAGCTACTGACCTCCCTGGTATGATAGCAGCAGCATTGCGACCTCTAGATTGATATGGCCTACAGGACATATTCAGAATATATATAAAAAATAATCTGCCCGGTGAAATTTATGTGAAGTTCTCCAAAAGACATATCAGAGACCAGCTACTTAAAGTGACTAGTGGAACTACCTTAAAAATCAAAGACAGAGAAATCAAAGTATTAAAAGACATTCCCTTTGAAATAAGAAAGAAGAGGAGAAAATATAAAGACTTGGTCTTATTTCTACAAAAGTTATCCACCCCCTACAAATGGATTATATCAGAAGGCATCTTCTTCAAATACAACGATAAGAAAGAAAGGATCGACTCTGTCACAAAAGCTAAGGCCTTTTTGGAGCAGTTACAAAAACCAGAAAAGCCATTAAAGCCTCAAGAGGACAACAATGCAAATGAAGAAGATAACAAACAGAGAAGCCAGGGTGAAATCTCATCATCATCTACTGAAGAATCTGACTCAGAATTAGGGGTAGCGTCTCCCAAAACTCCTAAAGCCAATTGAGACTATGATCTCAGAAAGAAGAAAGACAAACGTTAACTTTTATCTCTAGAAGCTGAACTTAATCCATACTTAATAGATTCTCGGATGTTCTTTATATAGTTAACTGCCACAGATATACTTTACTAAACTCTTTCATTGATATAGCACTGTTACAATACTAACACGTTAAAAAATTGTTGTAAGCATTATATGACCACCGCTTCTTGGGTTTTTAGTGGTTATCTTTACTTTCTCTCATAGTTTGAAGATACTCTTATGATTTCTGTGTAGTTTTTAGAATAAAAGCAATTTAAAATGTTTTTTTAAAGCCCTATGCATCCTGGGACTAACATATCTAAGGGACTGGCTTTCCCCATATGTGCCCTGGAGAGCCTTGCGCTTGGCAGACTATCATTTACTGGTTGCCTCCAGCCCGAAGGACGTCTGCTGAGCTTTGGCCAGGGCCGGGGCTTCTTCTGCCCCAGCCCCTGTAATGTATTGGAATCCTCACTTGAATCGGCCCATTTACATTCAATGTTAAGCTTGAGCCGGATGAAGGCTCCTCTGAAGAACATTGCTATTGGTCGACCTTCCACAGCGACCAATCAGATCTGTACAATCTCCAGAGAGGGAAAGACTCCCATTGGTCCTTAACTAAGCAATCTCATTGGTTGTTATTTGTAAATAGGCGTGGCTACATTAGCCCGGTTATGTTTAAAAGGAGCATAGCTCCCACAGTTGTTCTGTTCTGGTTTCTAATGCGTTTGAGTGCTTGTTCGTTACTTCAATAAAGCTGAATCACTTGCTGAATCACTCTACGAGTCCTTTGTTAGCGCGATCTAACAGCCCCGGCCTTGTGGAACATGCTCCCACCTGAGATCAGGGCCTGTAAAACGTAGCTGTTCCACCAGGCCTTTGGCTGAGGTGGCAGATGTCCAATTATTTTGGCCTCCCCTGCTGAGAAACTGCCTGTTG